AATAGCTTATCTGGCGTTTTAAGTTGTACTAGGACACAGTGGCACCATACAGCATTTGATATATTGTTTATGTGTTACTTCCATTATTAATGAACGAATGGCCAGTTTACTGGGCCAGCTCGACCTATCCACCAGCTTGGAAAATGTTGGTTTAGCCAATTTCTCACAGATTGGCCAAAGTGGGCTGGCGCCCCATCATCAGCTGGAAGAACATTTCTAACCGAGTGCTAATCTGAGTATTGTCTAGCAATTCTTGCAGATCATGTCCCCGCTTTGGTCCCGTCCCAAGTTTTTAAGGGCGCTCCGGTCTTCCGGTCCTCTTCTGAAAGTAAGCGCCCCTGCTGAAACCGTCGTAGAATTAACTTCGTAGACGAGCTTTTTTTGTCCTGTTCCGGTTCTTCTGATGTTTTTTGCGCTGTTTTCTTCTATCGGTAGCTCTGATACTACTGTAGCAGAGCCGGACCCCGGCTCTGCCTGACTGCTACACATCTTCCAATAGTGCTGACTCCTGGTCGGACGTCATGCCCGACTCGGAATAGGGAGAAGGCGAGCTGATTGTGAAGTTAGAGGGCCCTCTGGTTTCAGGTTCAGGCAATTTTAGAATATTTTCGCATTTTGTCTTTTCATTTGGTCATTGGGATGGTTTGGGTCCGGTGAGTCCGGCCGCCGCAATTAATTTTGGACTACCTTCGGTTTATCTCAAATATCTAAATTTTACAGATAATTGTTTTTTAAATATATGATTGGATCAACTGAAGTACCCCCCGACAGGTAAGTATGTAGTTCAGTAGGAATATACAGGGTGATTCAAAATTGGCGTCATTTCTTTTATTCATAATTTTAGGGGCTCACTTGGAAGGTACGAGAAAAATATTAAAATTATTTTTTTTGATAATTTCTAGAAGATTTTAACAATTGAAAATCAAATTTCACTTTTGTTATTAAGCATTACTTTAAAAGTGTTCCATGTTTAATTAGAAGCATATTGGAATACTTAAGCATTTGAAAAGAAAAATTACGATATTTGCTTCAAATTACGAAAATTTTTAATATTAAAAAAGTTCTCTTCTACAATTTTTTGATGAAAAGTCAAAGCGGCAATGATGTTTTTTGACAGATAGTTACAGGTGACCTTGTCAATAATAACAATAATTTGTCAAGTTGTGACTTACTTTGCATTTTCTTTCACGAATTTGCGGATATGCGATTAGTTCAGGGAAAATGCTACAGTAACATAGCAGAAGCTGAAAGAACTCACGCCAACAAAGGGTGAGTAGAGTGGTTCCAGGAAGATAGTGGACAACAACAGATGTCCGGGTTCAGGACACAGAGGAACAAGTATTGGACATAATTGCAGAAAAGCCTTTCAGGGAAACACAGAACATTGCGCAACCACTGACACTTTCCCAGGCACCAAATAAATACCGGCTACATTCCTACCACGTATGTAAGATCACATTAAATCAATGGAATTGCTTTACTGAACACCGGTATAAATTGAGCAGGAGTTAATCAACCGAATACGAGAAGCTGCTCGAGAAGAGTGCATAATAAGGTGATTACACAGGCACTTGTTTGGAGTTACAGACTCAAATGTATGTTCTTGTACTTTGTAAACAAATTAATAATTGGAGGTTATGAGTTTCGAAACAAGTTCCATCATTCAACAATTCCTGTTGAATTTTCTGTTTATCCTTGTCTATCTTATTGTCACTCTCTATTTATCCATGGTTACCGGAGTTTTAAATAATTACGAAGCAACAGGTATTTATGTGATGTTAATTATGCAGATTACCTCGAAAAACATTGTTCCGGTTTTTCTAATATAGGTTTTTGCAATTTTCTCAGTTTTTAATAACAGTAATTTTTTTTACTAATTTTTCTGCACTCTTTAAACACCGCCAGACAACACCTCCAGATGAATGAAGCCAACTTTGAATCACCCTGTATACCTTCTTTCTACTTATTTCGCAGATGTGGTTTTAGACACTGGAACACACTTTTTTGTGGGTATTCTCAGTCAAAGATTTACATCATTATTTCAGGAAGGAAAACTGAGGGAGTATGAGATCGGCACTAAGCTTCGGCAGCGCTACAATACCTTCCTCGGCAGAGTTTGGAACACTAGCGTGCTGGAAGTGCGAAGTACAGATTACAATAGAACAAAAATGTCAGCCGAATTAATGGCAGCGGGGTTGTGGCCTCCTTCGTGCATTAATCTTTGGAATCCAATTCTGTCGTGGCAACCGATCCCATATTATTACGAAAAAGCACAAAATGACAAAGTAATTGAAACATGAACCGACAAAAATATTGTACTTTAAATTTTGTAAAAATGTATTTTCAGGAACTTTCTCCGTGGAATGCTTGTAACAACTTTAACAACCTGGTGGATGAATTTGTTGAAACTCCCGAAATTGCTAGGTATATGGCAGATAGATACAATGAAACGATGCAAATTTTATCTGAAAGGACGGGCTTGGAAATTACACTTTTAAAAGCTTTTCTTCTATACTTTGGTTTTGCTATACAGGTCTGTCTCAATTTATTTATTCTACTTACACAATATAAAATTGTAATTTAAAATAATTTTAGGAAGAATTGGGTTTACCCTTGGAGGATTGGGTTTCGTCCATTTACCCAGAACCGTTGCATTCACTGACTATCGATTTTTACTATATCCAAACGAATACAACTATTTTAAAGAAAATAATATCTGGTAAGCCATAAATCATGACATTCACATCGAAGCTAGAACACGTTATAAACTTTTCAGGATACCTCTTAAAAAAGATACTGTCTGATACTGAGATTCAGATCGATGGGGCAAATCCTCAAGGCAGAAAAATGTTTCTCTATTCAGGTCATGAAACAAATATAGCCGCACTCTTGTTGTCACTGGATGTATATAAACTAGCAGATGTGCCTGGTTATGGATCATTTATACTTGTAGAAGTTCATAAAATAGATGAAGTTCACGGAATAAAAGTGAGATATGATAATTCTTAAATATAAGCAAACTTAGGTCTGCTTCGAAGTTTTTCCAATTACGGCGATACAACCAACCTTTTAAAACACATTTAGAACTGTTTTTCGGGCTTTGAAGCCGTGGTCCATGTGAATTTTTTCCTGACGTTTCGTCCAAACTGCGGTGGACATTATCAAAGGCGATGACGCAGTGGACGAAGTGATCTCCCGTGCTTTCCGACTAAGACTGGTTCAACTACTTGATCCCCTGTCGTATTTATGCGGCCCGGCCGTTTGAGCTCATGCGTGAGGAGTGGGCGGGGCTTCAATTGTTTTAGCGCACACGCTGTTTGCCGCAAAACGCGTTTCCAATCTGGAATAAGGGCCGTTGCCTCTTCTTTCCTATTAAAATTGTTGTCATGTATATCTCAACGACCTCTCTGGTTAGTCTCGGGTAATACCGTTGAGATTAATTGTCTGAGATTTCTGTCTGAGTTAAACATATATCTATCACCTCTGAATTCATTGTTATATGCAGAATTATTCATTAGCCATGGAAAATCCAAAAATTGAGAAAATTTGATATTTTCGGAAATGTGTTGTTGCAAGTGCAAATTTTAATTCATATCTTTTCCATTAATCTGAAAATATTCGGGTAGAAACTTGAAATGGAACGTTTCGTTTTTTAAGATGACGAGTAAGATACGTGTTGCAATTTTCAAACGTTTTGAAAATTCTAGAACCGCTTTAGGAAAACAGGATCTTTCCATGGGAGACGATAACGGAACCATAAAAAAATCTGTAGGAAAGGAAGGGGAAGTTATGATTAGATTTTATGAAAATTCAGCTAAAAGTACTCATCTCTTATGTAGCCCAACACGCACCCAGCAAACACACCTCGGTCCCTGAGACGTCCCACGGAAGTCTTTACAGGATATAGGCCTAAGTTCCTCGGACGTCTTGGTACGTCCCTGAGACATACTTTTTGGGCTGTTCGGGCCATGTATGGGATGATCCTGTAAAGGTCATTTCGAACATTACTGGGATTAAAGACCAGTTCTTTAGAGAACATTGGTGAAACGTTCTTATGTTAATAGTCAACCGTTAAATTATTGCTAGAAACAAATATGTATAAAGTGAAAAAAAAACTTTCTAAAATCGTTGAAGGCAGCTGTATAATTTGGGAAATTTAAGGTGGAAGCAATTTAAAAGAAACAAAATACTGAACCAATAACATATAACTATATCTCAAAACAAACAAAAAACGTTTACGTATGGTATCGAATAAAACCAATTTTTGCTATTGCCTTCTATCTGAAACCGTTAAAGTTAGTTTTTCCCTTTTCAGTCTTTCTGGCGCATACCTGAGCCAATTTTGAGCTTCAATTTCAATGTATTTTCTTGTTGATATAAATGCGGGTTTTTGAGCAAACCATCTGTAATAAAAAAGAGATATATTTTATCATTTATAAATCCAACTAAAGGTTCTTCAGCAACTTCTACTTCAGGCTTCTCCACCGATGTTAGAACTCGTTCACTAAGTCTATTCCGATCTCATCGAGGGTCAGGCAAAATCAGATTCTTAAGGCCCTCATTAGAATATTGTAAACTATTTAATAATGTACTTGTTCCTTCATTTATTTAACGGAGATATAAAGATTTTGCTCGATTTTTAGGCGTTTCAGGCATGGCTTTACGTTCGAAAGCATAGAAATTATAGCATACTTCTATACCTATGAACGACGATCATACATGAAAGTGATAAAAAATATAATTTAGCTACTTACTTTCTCTGTAATAACACAATAACATGTACGAAAGCTCGAAACACTGCACTTTATTATTATTATTCATATACACTCTATTATATTACAATTATAAAAGTATATAATAATTATATTATTATTATACGTATATATCGTTTTATATATCCGTTATTGATGTTGATTGAATTCCATATTTCATATTTCGGTTTTGATAGTATATAATTTATTAAGTGTGTAATAATGTGTATAACTTGGTTTCGAGTGTACCATTTACTATTACTACATATACGTCCTGTTCATTACGCCACTGGGAGCAAAAAATATAACGTTTCTGCGTTATAACCTCGCATGGGATCTGCATGAGATATTTGTGCGATACGAGGGACGTCCTAGGGACATCCTGCCAAGGATCATCCCATACTAATACATATATAATGGGGATCATAATAGAACGTCTCACGGACCATTTGCGTTTGCTGGGATACTTTCCATCACTGAATAAAACATTGCTATCGAATATTTCGATAGTTTTCATTCGATAGTTCCCATTGCTACTTCTAATGCAAGGTCTACGAAATGCACCCTGTATAGCACATATATGAGACTATATCGAATTTGTGTTATTTTCAGTTGTTTTATCAGGATTATTCGACGGAGAATCCACAAGCATTAAAACTTCCTGGATGTGACGAATTTTGTCCTTTCCATCAATTTTCCTCATTAGTGCAAGACATATTACCCGAATCAGATGAGGAGTGTTTGGGTGCTTCCAAATAGTGAAATCTTTAACTGAATCTTGATGTATATCCAACATTATAAGCAAATATATTACTACCATTTAAAGAGCTTAGTTTTATAAATCCGTCTATCTATCTTGGGTATTGGGTAAGATTAAAGTATTTTATTTTAATTCGTCATTAAGCACTAATTCAAAGCTTTTATAGGATTTTCAGGCTTTCACTTTGTTTTATTTCTAATATAACGTGATTGACATTTTAATTGCATACTATCATGAGTTGAACACTGAAATATATGGTTTTATTAATAAATCCATAAAACCCACCACAAACAGCTCGAAACAAATTGTCGAACAAAATCTGTCTCAATATAATGCTGGGACTCACTAAGTGATTTTACTTAATTTCTTTGCAAAATATTGCAGGATTTTTCGAAATGTTTGTTATGGATATATTATGGATTGGTTCTGTATTGTTTATCATAACGATTTCTGAAGCTGTACCAATCCGAGAATCAACTGCCAACGAAACGACGTTAAAATTAGTTCATGTGGTAAGTTATTTAAAACCATCAAGCCAAGTCAACCCTGCCAAGCGACACTCAACTCAAGACAAGAACATATTTTTAATTATAAACCTGGTGCAAAGTGTTGATAAATGATGTCAACACTAAAGCGGTATATTCCCAAGTCATTTTATTGGAGCATTTATCAAATCGCTATATATTCAATTATTACCCTAAACTTTTTAAAGACCCCCAGCTAAAAAGATAATTCTGGGTTACTTCTACATATCGCTGAATAATTAGTAATTACGTAAACCGTATTTATTTATAAATGTATCGAGATGATACCAGATAGTAATTCATCATGTTTAAAGCTCGGATTTAAAGGCAAGACAATTTGAAGAAAAAGGCGCCTATATAGGCACGGATTTAAAAAAAAAAGGCAGGCATATTGTGATATAGGCAGCCTGCCTACACATAAATGTAAATTAAAGAAATATATTTACTGCGTATAATAAACAATTTATATTAGCGCATTCTATTATATAACACATAAAATTCTACAATGAAATACTAGTAATAATTATTTAAAAAAATAGTAATAACAGTTAACTTAGGCATTGTTACTATGTAATATTTTCTCATTTATAGCTACAACTAAGTGCTTTTCTATGTTATCGGTCTTAAAGCACAACCTTCTGTCACTTAAAATAAGTTTATACATCGAAAAAGATCGCTCGACGTCAACAGATGTAACTGGAGCAAATTTGAGGCTTGATAATATATCAGAATCAATTTGCAAATCATCAGAAAAGTCTCCATTTAAAACCTTAGAAATATTAGTTAATATTGAAAAGCCTTTATTTTTATCAAAAACATTTTTCATTTTTTTGGAAATAATCTGACCAATGCTTCCGGGTGCTGA